GATCACCTCGGCCCCAAGGCTTTTAGCTAGTTCGAGACCTGCAATCATGGCCTCACTCGGCTTCATTATTAGTCAATTTTACAGTTATAATAGATTCCCTAATTATAGCCCCCGTAGGTGGTCAACACAATGCCAATTCCAGACCTTTTTGCGTTCGAGGCGCCGTCTGTAAAAAGGGTCCAGATTCTCGAGGAAGTTCCCGAGGCTAACAATAATTCCTTTTCGACTTCGGGTATCAAGGCCGGTGTAAAGTTGGCTACGAATTCTACCAAAATTTGTGATTTGATGGAGAATTGAGGTTGATACTCGATATCGTACCTGCTAATTTCGATGACCTATTTGGCCAACCGGCCCGAGAGCTCGGGTTTGTGCATGATGTTCCTTAGTGGGTAAGAGGTTACGACACATATGGGGTAGTACTGAAAGTATGGTTTTAACTTTCTGGACGCGCTTAATAAAGCTAGCGCCAATTTTTCCAGGTGAGGATACCTTGTTTCGGTCTCGGCTAGAGTTCTACTGACATAGTAAATAGGAAATTGCGTACCTTCCTCTTCTCGGACTAAGTCCACTTATCGCCACCTCGGATACCGCCAAGGAAAGGTACAATTGCTCATCCACCTTCGGAGTGTGGAGCAAGGGTGGACTCGAAAGGTACCGTTTGAGTTCTTCCAAAGCTTGTTGGCACTCCCAGGTCCAGGAAAAGTTATTCTTCTTCTTCAACAGTGAGAAGAACCGATGGCTTTTGTCTGAGGACCTCGATATGAACCAGCCCAAGGCGGTTATACACCCGTTCAACCTCTGAACGCCTTTGACGTTGTCCACCACGATGATGTTTTTTGTGGCTTTGATTTTGTCAGGATTAATCTCGATCCCTTGATTGGATACCACGAACCCGAGGAACTTTCCCGATCCAACCCGAAAGCGCACTTCTCCGGGTTCAGCCTCATATTGTATTTCTTCAATATGTCAAAGGTTTCCTGCAAATGTTTCAAATGGTCCTCTACTCGCAGGGGCTTACTAACATGTCATCAATATAAACTTCCATTGATTTTCCTATCAGTTCTTCGAACATCCGGTTTACTTGTCGTTGATATGTGGCACCAGCGTTCTTTAATCGAAATGGCATTAAGTTATAACAATATTTGCCGAATTTAGTGATAAAGGAAGTTTTTTCTTGATGACCCGAGTCCATCCGAATATGGTTGCACCCGGAATAGGCATCGAGAAAATTGAGTACCTCGTGACCAGCCATCGCGTCGATCATCCGATCGATGTTAGGCAAATGAAAGGAATCCTTAGGCATGCCTTGTTCAAGTCTTTGTAATCTGCACACATTATTAGCTTATTTCCTTTTTTAGGCACTACCACTACGTTAGCTAACCATTCCGGGTACTTAACATCCGGAATAAACCCTATTTTAAGGAGTTTAGATACCTTGTCTTTGCTGAATGCATGCTTGACCTCGGATTGAGGTCATCTCTTCTGTTTAACCTGGTGGAACTTCGGGTCCAAACTCAGCTCATGAGTTGTTACCTTCGGCGGGATCCCTGTCATGTCAAGATGGGACCAAGCGAAACAATCTATGTTAGCTTTAAGAAAATTAATGAGTTTTTTCCTAAGCTCGGGAGCTAACCCGATGCCCAAGTATACCTTTCAATCTGGTAGGTGCTCGATCAATATGGCTTGCTCCAATTCTTCGACCATTGACTTGGTGGGGTCGGTATCATCAGGAGTTATGAATGATCTCGGAACTCCGTAGTCATCCTCCTCATCGACTCCTCGTTCCTCCGATCTGACCGTGACCGCATCGGTGATTGCTATTTAACTTCGGCCTTTCTGGTCGGCACCGCACTTTTTAATGTCGAAACGACGGGTACCGAGAGTGCTTCATCGATTGCGAACATCTCCTTTGCATCAGGCTGTTCTCCGTATATTGTCTTCAGTGCCTGGTGCAAGGTTGAAGGTACCGCCCTCATGTTGTGAACCCATGGTTTTCCGAATAGAGCATTATATCTCATATCCCCTTCAATCACATAGAACTTTGTTTCCTGGATGGTCCAGGCAGTGTTAACCTGTAGGGTTATCTCCTCTTTAGTGGTTTCACATGCCATGTTAAATTCGTTCAACATCCGGACTGATGGCGCTATTTGGTCTTGTAAACCCAACTGCTTTACGATCCTCGATCTGATGATGTTGGCCGAGCTACCCGGATCAATCGACACACGCTTAACTCGAGATTTATTGATAAGTACAGAATTACCAGTGCATCATTATGAGATTGTATGATGCCTTCGGCATCCTTGTCGTTGAATGAAATGGTTCCCTCTAGGATATAATCTCGAATGCATTTCTCCCTCATGATAGATACTTTAGTGTGTTTTATCATTGGCCCTTGAGGGACATCAACCCCTCCAATGATCATGTTGATGACGTGATGAGGTTCTTCTTGTTTGGTCTGTTTGTTGGAGTTCCTCTTTCTTAAGTGATTTTTGGCTCGATAACGCACGAATTCCCGGAGATGCTCGTTATTGAACAATTGGGCCACTTCTTCTCTTAATTGTTGGCAGTCCTTGGTCCTGTGGCCATGAGTGCCATTGTACTGACACATCAAGTTAGGGTCTCTCTGGATAGGATCAGACTGCAATGGTCGAGGCCACTTGGTATCCTTGATGTGCTCGATGGCTGATAAGATGCTGGCAGCATCGACATTGAAGTTATATTCCGATAATCTTGGTGCCTCCCTGGCCCAGAGTGGCCTATCGAAACTATTTTTGCTCATCAGTCCCCGGCTACCGTGGCCTCGATTGCTCCTCTTTTTGTTCCCCATAAGGTGATGTTCTGATCCGTTACCCCTTCGATCTCCGCTATACGGTTGATACTGGTCTTTGCTCGGTTTCGATTCATGATCGACGAATCTCTTATACCTGTCATTGGTTCTGATGGGATAAACGGACCCAGAAGGGGCCCTGAGCTGATCGTCCTCAACTCTAATTTTTGACTGGTACCAGTTGTGGACGTTGGCCCAAGTTACAGCCAAGTACTCTACCAAATTTTATTTTAATTGGTGTGAAGCCAAGGAGCTTCGGGGTTAAGTCCTTGAGTGAACGCCTGAACGGCCCAATCATCCGTAACCGGAGGCAAGTCCATCCATTCCATTTGAAACCTTGATACGAACTCCCCGAGCATTTCGTTGTCTCTTTGCTTTACCTTGAAAAGGTCTGATTTTCTGGTCTCGACCTTGATGGCCCCGACATGCGCTTTCACAAAAGCATCTACATGCCTATCAAACAAATCCATAGAATTTGGGGGTAAGTTTTGAAACCATATCATTGCTCCTTTTGACAGAGTTTCTCCGAACTTCTTTAGCAAAACCGGCTCGATTTCATCATCTTCCAAGTCGTTCCCCTTGATGGCACATATGTAGGAGGTCACATGCTCATTTGGATCTGTGGTTCCGTTATATTTCAGAATATCGGGCATACGAAACTTCTTTGGGATTGGTTTCGGTGCCGCGTTCGAAAGAAAAGGCTTTTGGACAAATCTCTTGGAATCCAGGCCTTTCAATATTGGGTGCTCCTGGGATTTGATCGACCTGGGAATTATATGTCTCACCTACTTATCGTTTGCCTCAATTTTTTCTTTTCACCTGACTCCGCCTGTTTGGTTAGTGCTTCATGTATTTTCATTACTTCGGGGCTGACACCGGTCTCAGTTTCACCCGGCCTTTCGGTGGCCTGCTCATTTCTTCGGGTGTTTTATCGGGATTGTTCGGGTTCGACCTTACTGGGGCGCGGCTTTGATTTTGCAGCTGCACTTTCGCCGACTGTTGGCCCTGTAACATCTTGAAGATTGCTCTTCGCCTTCGGGCGTACCTCGAGCGTTGGTCGGGCTCCTCCATGAACGTTGTTCTCAGGGTCGGTAGGCAGGTTGGCATCGATGACCACATACGAGTTAGCATCGACTGGGTTCGCAACTAGGACTCCATTGGGATCAGTATGGGGCACCTCATTCCATATTGTTGTTTTCGCCATGATGGTTAGACTCAGCATCAACGTTCAAGTGAGCAGACTGAGAGTTTGACATTTTTAAGCCGACCTGAAATTAAAATCTTAAAGAACAAGTGTAAAATAGAGCGTGTTATGGAAATTTGTATCAAACCACCACTATTATCCTTAGTCCCACGGTTGGCACCAAACTGTTTACCCTTAAAATGGATAACAGTTGAATTTGTACGCGATTTTAAAGATATGTGAGTTGATTCAACACAGATGATCAAGAATGTTAGATAAGCGAATTAAAGATAAAATAAATAACCAAACCAATTGTGATGTTGGATCCAGGCTCGGACCCAAGATTAACAGTTGTTCTGCCCTCGGTCTAGAGCTAAGCGTATATGAAGAGCTACGGTTAAAATAAGAACCTTGCAATGACTAGAAAGCACAGAAATTAGTTTGTATTGCCTTGATATGCGTGTTATACTGTCTATTAAATAAATATTACCCCTTTATATAGTAGGGGAGTTTCACCCCTAGTACAATTCTAAGAAAGGTAAAAATTCTCTTTTTCGTTAATCATTGATCCGCTGCCGATACGGACCGATATCTGCGCCGTGATATTCGATGGGTTGCGGATATCGCAGCCCTCTATTAGTCGTGTGCGACCGTTGTCGTGTTTTCCGAGGTATCAGAGCTTGTTCCGACATCAGAGAAGTATTGTCTTATCAAGCCAGGTGACGACCACTCCGTTCGGACCTTAGTACGAGGCGTTCCGGTTTCGATTCGACCCCATGTATTTGTGCTTTTGCTTTGTTTGACCCACCGGAAAATCGGGGTGTAGGGCACCCCGGTTTTGCCCGTTTGCAGTCTACTCAACCAACAAGTGGAACGTTCGTTATTATTCAGCCGAGCATGTCTAGAAATTCTTGAACATTTCCATGTTGATATCATCTGTTTTTATTAAAAAAAATAATAAAATATGTTGTTGCTTTCATTATCATGCAGGCAAGCAGTTCAGGTGCCATTAGGGTTGATGTGGCTGTAGTGGACCAGTATTTGACAGTGTCTGCTGCTAAATTGAAAGGTCTTTTTCCAGATTGGATGGATGTGACTGCATTCTCAAGTTTTATGTCCACCTATGTGTTGTAGACTTGTAGTTCGCATAACATTTTATGTTTAGTCCTTTTTTTATTTCCTTTTTGGGTGTATCATATAGCATAGCCTTGTTTTTACTTTTCTTATTACCTCATTATTCCTTTGAAATAAAAGAAGTAAAGTTTGTTTAGAGCTTGTAAACCCCTAGGTTTCTCTTTCAATAAAAGCTAATTGCTGGCGAATGACAATTTATTGGAATTTGTGAAGGGTAAAGTTGTCAATTTTTGTACCCATAATATTTAAAGTGCGTAAAGGAAAATTTAGTTTTAAAGGCTGAATATTGCCTTTCTGCTCAAACCTTAGTGTATTGGAGGAATTTGTATTGAAACATAAGAGATTAACGATATACAATCTTTAGGTTGACGAATAAAATGTATATATTAACGTGTAAACTGGTATACATATGCTAAATCCTAATAACACAAATATTGTTCGTTGGGACGTGCTCATTTACGCACGCATTACATAGGAACTCAAATATGATACAGGCTTGGGATTTCATAATTTTTCTGCTTCTTGTATGTGAGGGAGTATGAGTTAGGATTCCAGCATCATGGACCCCATGGGTAAAGAAATTAGTTTCGCCACATTAGCTTGCGGATGTAGTGGAAAATATGAAAAGGACCTCCCATTAAGGAAAGTATGGATAAAGAAAGTAGTCTTACCGTATCAGCATTCAAATGTGGTACAAATAAGAAACTGTTCCTGCCTTATGGACGGACGAGGGTAAGAAGCTAGATCAAGAGAGTCGAAAACGGGTAATTAGTTGAAAAATAGGATTTTTTATGGGATATTACATAATTTATCTCCCGAGGTTATCTCACTTTATTTGTTGCACCTTCATACTTCGTGGGATATCGTATAATCCTCCTGCATTTGTTTGAAGTGTAATAAGTATTACTGGTATAGACTTGGAGTAACCTGAAACAAATGATTGCAGACTCAAGGAACCAACACTGACTTGAATGATAACAAGATCAACGAAAGAGAAATAAGGAAAAAAAAATAGTAGAAAGAGGGAGGTTCTAGAGCTAACCAAATCTATGATAATGATAAAAGACAAGACTCATTTTCCATAAAACCTACATACTAGTCTCCTCCTCATTTATATAGTAGACCCCTCCTTATGTTCCTTTCTTTGCTGTTGCCTAATCTCTAACGAAAATTGCAGCCTTGTCCTTTGTACGGACTACAAAGTTGTCTAGGTTTTTTGGTGGATGCACTATCATGTTGTTGCGCCTCTGCCCCGTCTGTCCTTTAGTGTAATTCGTTACATTGCCATTCCCTTGAAGTCGAACCTTGTCCCCAAGGTCATCTTAGGAAACTTGCATTAGATAGATAAAGTGTCTTCCCAGGTAGCCTCAATGGACGACAGTCCCGACCAACTGATTAAACATTAATCAACCTGATGGCCGCCTTTGGAGATTAGACGATGCTGCAAAACACTCTTGGGATACAAAATCTTGGAAGAGGAGTGATCCAACAAGTCAATTAGGGTGACTTATTGTGAAGGCTGACCAATGCATTTGCGTAGAACAGACATGAAAGACGTTGTGTATCCTTGATGAAGCAGAAAGGTCTAATTTACAAGATCCTTCTCCAATTCGCTGGATGATTTGAAATGGACCAAAGTAGCGTCTGCTTAGCTTGCTGTAGTGTTGAAGTCGGATGGAGCGTTGACGATATGGACGCAGCCTTATGTACACATAGTCACCTATTGCAAATGAAATATCATGCCTACCTTTGTCACCTAGGAGCTTCATTCTATCTTGGGCTACTACGAGATTGTCTCTGAGGATTGCTAATGTCTCATCGCATTGGCGAAAAAATTCCACCACAGCCGGATTACTAGAGGAATCAGCCACAAATCGGATAATAGCGGGTGGAGGTCTACCATACACGACCTCCAAAGGAGTCAATTTGGAGTTGTTTTGAAAGGAAGTGTTGTACCAAAATTCAGCCCAAGGAAGTAGTTTAGACCAAGTAGCAGGGGTATCGACAGGGAAGCAGGGAAGATACATTTCTAAACGCTTGTCTAGAGCTTCAGTTTGGCTGTCGGTTTGAGGGTGATGTGCCGAACTTTTCTCCAATTGAGTACCATGGAGTCTGTTGATTTCTTTCCAATAAATCAGATAAGAAAGTAGGGTCCCTATCAGTGATGATCTTGGAAGGAAACCCATGAAGTCTGATATATTCTTGGATGAAGAATTTAGCAACCTTCTACAAAGAAAACTTTGGAGGCAGAGCAACAAAGTGGCCATACTTAGAGAGTCTATCCACAATTACCAAAATTGCATTACAACCATTAGACGAGGGTAAGAAGCGATAATGTCCATTGAGATTTGCTCGAAGATTGATTCTGGTAGGGGAAGAGGCTGAAGCAACCCTGCTGGCTTCAAAGAAGAATCCTTCATTTGTTGGCAGACTTGAAGCATGAAATTCATGAAGCAACTTTGGCGAATATCCTATTCTAGTGGAATTACCAACCTATTGCGATAGAATAAGAGTCTCCGGTGGAAGGAGAAAAAGGAAAGAGAAGCAAGGTCATTCTCAAGTTGACGCCGAAGCTCCAATAATGTAGGATCAGACTTGTTTAAAGTTTGCAACCTATCCAGCAATGCAAATTCAGTGAAAGCAATGGAGAAAAATTGGGAAGTACGGATGCAGGAAAGGGCATCAACAGTAGAATTAAGTTTTTCTAGTCCAATAATGATATCAAAGTCATATCTAGTGAGTTGCAAAGCCATTGTTGTTGTTCCGAGGTCTGGATTACTTGATTGGTGTGGGACTTAAGAGGTTGCTGATCCGTCGTGAATTTGCGACCCGAAAATATTGACACCATTTTTGTACTGCCTGTGTGATTGTGAATATTGATGATATGTGGACGCAGCTTACATGTGAAGAGAGAGTTTCTGGCTAAAGAATGCAATTGGGTGACAATCTAGAGACAACACCGCTCCTATGTCGGTACTGGAAACATTAGTTTCCACCAAAAAAACGTTTTAAAAGTTCGGCAAACATAATACTAGGACAGTGCTCAAAGCATTTTTTTAATCAGAGAAAAGCGGTATTCTCGACCTCAGTCCACCGGAAAGCATATATTTTTAGAATATCCGTCAATGGAGATGCTAATTGAGCATAGCCTTTGACAAAGCGACGATAATAACCTGTAAGGACTAGAAATCCTCGTACCTCCTTGATAGAGGAAGGAGCAGGCCACTCATTGATGACTTCGATTTTTGAGGGATCGACCTGAGGCCTTCGCTGAGATGATGTGGCCAAGATAGTCAATGGAGGTTTGTACGAACTTGCACTTGGAGCGTTTGACAACTAAAGTGTGTTTGCGGAGCAAGTTAAACACCACTTCGAGGTGTCAAAGATGAGCAGACCATGAATTGATGTATATCAAAATATCGTCAAAGAAGACGAGTACGAATCGACAAAGAAATGGCTTAAAAATGGAATTTATAGTAGCTTGAATGGTAGATGATGTGTTGTACAGACCAAAAGGCATAACAATGAATTCATAGTATCCCTCGTATGTGCGAAAGGCTATTTTCTCAATATCATGTGGGAGAACTCTGATTTGATGATACCCGGCCAGTAAGTCCAATTTGGGAAAGAAATAAGCACCGTGTAACTCATCAAATAGTTCATAAATAGTAGAAATTGGAAACCGATCCTTTCTGGAGATGGAGTTCAATTCTCGGTAATCAACACAAAAAAGCCGAGTACCATCCTTCTTACGAACGAGCAAAATAGGAGATGAGTACGAACTTGAACTTGGCCGTATGATACCTGATTGTAACCTTTCGGCAGTGAGACGTTCTATTTGTGTTTTCTGGAAATGAGGGGAATGATATTGCCGCACATTAATGGGTGTTGAACCTTATAAGAGAGATATTTAGTGATCTTGTGGTCTAGAGGGAGGTGGGGATGCAGATTGAGTAAATATATCAGAATAAGCATCATGAACGTTATTGAGGTTAGGTGGTAGGTATAGGGCCGGGCCGGGCCGCTTTTTTTGACCCGTACGGGTTACGGTCCGGGCCGGTTCTGGGTTGATTCTTAACGGGTTTAACGGGTTCGGGTTCATCCGGGTAAAAATTGAATTGTACGGGTTACGGGTTGAGGGGCCGGGCCGGGCCGGGTTTAGTGTATTTTTTAATTTTTTTTTTGAATTTTGTATAACTATTGTAAGTTATATTAATATAAAGAATACAAGTAAGATGGAAAAAAATTGCACTTATAAATTTCAAGTGCTACATTTATTTCAAAATTCAAACTTACAAATTGAAAGGTTTACATTTAACAAGTAAATTAACCAAAAAAGAATAAATTCAAAGGTTTTGCATTGCCTTAGTAAGTTCTTCATAATCAATATGAACTGAGTGACCTTCTTCTGGAGTGTTAAATTCGGATGGGTTACCATATGTTAATATATCTCCAAGTTCCTCGTCTTCTGGGCTATCAACATCTTCACGTCCTTGATTTCTTTGTTCCGATCTAATCCAATCTCTGAAACATACTAAAACTTCCAAAGCATTGCTTCCCAATGAGTGACGGGTGTCTCCAAGTTGTTGTCTTGCTTGGCTAAATGCACTCTCTGATGCAACAGTTGAAATTGGCACATTCAGCACGTCTCGAGCCATAGCGAAAAGAACAGGAAATTGCTTTCCATTCTCATGCCACCATCCCAACGGTGAAAATTCCTTTGTGCGAGGCTCTTTTTGCTTCTGCAAGTAGAATTGAAGTTCATCAATGTTCCTGCTACTGGTTTGAGTGTTAGAAAATGTAGAAAAAATATTAAAACTATCAAGGCCTTCTTCATCATCCACAGTAGCAGAAGTGGTACAATGCATAGTTGGATTAACATTGCCTACATTAAGAGCAGCATCATCAATTACATTTGCATAATAATTATATAATTGTTGTAAATATTCATTTAGCTTGTTCATACAAGTATATAAATCTGGGGTTTCAGTTGGTCCAATCTCCATATAAGTATATAAAGCATTCATTAATTGGTGACAATCAGACATCTTAATAGAAGGATTTAAAACAGCACCAATTAAGTAAATCGGAGGAATTGGAAAGAAATATTTTTTGAATTTTGCTTGCATTTTTTCAACAACATCCCTATATTTTTCTTTCTTCTTAAATTCAAAGAGTAGAAAAGAAATTTCAGCTATATGTACTAAAGCCATAGTAATAGTAGGGTAATATGCCCC